CGTTGGAGAGACAGAAACAATTGAATGATAGGAGATAATGTATGTGATGTATTATGATATTGATCTAAAAGAATGAAGAGCAAGTTAAAAGAAATACTTTAATTATAACCGTATAGATTATTTCGTTAAGAAGATAACCTATGGAAAATTGAATGAATAATGGTGAGCCTCAAACATGACTAATCTCAATCAAATAAAAATGTATTTGTTCTTAAATTCGTATGTATTGCGAAGTGTAGAAAAAAAAAGAAATAGAGAATTCAGTTGTATTTGAAAAGCTCCATAATTTATCTGAATGTTGGAGCTGTTTCTTCTCGATCTACGCATTCAACAATAAGTAATAATATATGGTTTGATTGATTTTGTGGCAGATTTCATTTTACATATTAGATAAGAATTACAGCTCATATTAGACTAGGAGAGACTCTCTTAATCGAGATATCACGTAGTTTAAACGAGCAAACTAGACCAATGATATAGTGACAATGTCCAGATTTTATTTATGCCAAGGTTCAATCTCTAGTCTTCTATTGGTTACATTACTACAGAAATAACGTCAAAAGTCTAATTGAACCCATTCTTTGGAGGCTAAAATGAACTCTAATTTAACTTTTTCGGACTGTATTTTTGACGTTAAAGTAAAAAAGCTCAGAACTTTAAGTATTTCATTTAAGATAATTATGTTATGTAAGAAGTATCATACAAAGTTAGTGCAAAATCTATGAGAAACTATTGATCTATGTTTTGAATAACTACTTGAAATATCTGTTTAATCAATCAGATCAAAAATCTTTTCATTCTGTTTCTTAACATTATTGTTCAGTTACGTAGCCTCTAATTCACATCGGAAAATAGAGATACTTCGGAGAAATAAACTATAATGTTGATACATCATTCAATAGTTGTTTTATTATTTTTCATTACAATAGCTATTGGTTTCTCTGATAGTCAATTCGGCAATATTTTCCCACTATTTTAACAAATTCTAAATTGTTTTCAATTTAGTAAGAAGTGTTGATTCAGTTCACATTTAAGCCTTTCTTAATTCTATAAGCAACTCACATTCAAAAATATCTTGTAGTTCATTAAAAAAATCTGATTATATAAATTCTCTTTTTCACGCATGTCAAACGATTGCTGGATAGACGAGAATGAAAAATAGAAAATTATTCAATTGGTTCAAATAAGCCAGGATAAGCTAGTATGTATGAATATGTTGTAGGCAAAATTGAGATTCAGGCAAATTTTAAATTTGCCTAGGCAAAATTAGAATACAACTAGAGATAGATTCACACAATTAAAACTGAATAGAATATTTTTTTTATTCAACAATATTTCTTCATTTAACTAAACAATTTACAAGACAAAACATATTAATCTACTCACTCACATCTGTACAACTACCTCGTTTTGAATGACATTTTGTCGAACACTACACTCCCATTTTTTTATACGAACATTGTTTTGTAGCGCACTTGCCTTTACGATTGCAACGTCTGCTAGTCATAGACACGCGTATGTAAAGTTCATATGCTTCAATAAATGTAATATCCTTTAAATCATCAATAACAATTTGTTTTAATTCTTTTGGATGTTATATAACAAGCGATATGAACACCAGAAATTTTAATTGCAATGAAATGTTTTTTATCCAAAAAATAAATTTTGGAGAAAATGAACCTAATGGCTTCTCCTTGGATAATAGTAAACATTTAACGATATCATCACAAACACTGTTTTATAACACTTGTTTCTTGAAATTTTTCACTTAAGAAATTAATATGTTTTTGTAATTCTGTATAATAAACCAATTCGCCATTATCTCTTCGGACTATCGTTAAATCCGATTCAGACAGTTTTTAGCCAGTTTATAATGTCTACATCGATATCTATACTTCTTAGCGGCAAGATCAATACTATAACAGTTTTCTCTCTTTTTTTCAATCCATTCTACTTTTGATAAAGCAGGTGATTGTATGAATTCATCTCTAGTCGCATTCTAATTTTGCCTAGGCAAATTTTTAATTTACCTGAATCTCAATTTGATCTACAGCATATATAGTGACCTGGGGTAATTCGGATCACTTGATCAAAAAAATGAGTGTATTTTGGTCGTTTTTCAACCATTTTACATCAGAAAAAAAAGATTTTTTTATTGTCAGATAGCCCCAAGTGTTCTCTATTGAGTCATGTAAAAAATTTTGAAAAAAGTCAATGTTTTGAGTAAGTTTTTAAAAAACTACTGAAAGCCCTAAAAAAGTGATCCGAATTACCCCAGTTGGGGTAATTCGGATCAGTAAGCTATTGTACCTGGGGTAATTCGGATCACTCCAGCAAAAATTGCTAGAACCTCACTTCCCCATCTTCCTATTAACTAACGGTAGCTCGTAATTAAATAAAAAATATACCATTCGATAGCCCAAAGTCTTTTCTATGGGACCTGCAAAGATCTCGTCAATTCATTGAACTATTGCAATACAGTTCACAAAATGCTGAGACCTACGGCGTCTTTTTTATTTTTTTTAAAAGTGATCTGGGGTAATTCGGATCACTCAAGCAAAATATGTTGGGATAATTCGGATCACTCCAGCAATTTTTGCTGGAGATAACTTTGAAAACTTGTACCACTTCTCCACCACATTTTCAAGCATTAGTGTTGAAAGAAAAGTTATTCGTCTCGCTTTACTCTATCTTTCTATGTAAAAATGAAAAAAAAATACGAAAGTTTTAGTAAAAATTATACTATCTAATTAAACAACTCAAAAAAGTATTCTTTTTCTATTCACTTAGTCAATCTTTCAACGAAGATTTTATTTTAACAATACATCTCAGAAAAAATAAGTTTGACTTTCCAGATTCAGCAAAGTCTCAGCTACAAACTGGCCTAAAAATCAAAATATTAGTAAATAGTATTATTGAGTTGCAAAACAATCAATAAGATAGGATGACATTTCAACATTGTCAAAATTCTTATTTATTCAGTTTTCATCTTTAAGAAAATAAAAAAGAACATCAGAAAACATTAAGAGTTCGAGGGGTGTCCAAGGACTGAGATTTGGGAATTCTTCCAATTCCTAAAAACACCAGCTAAAAGTGACATATCCATCGAGGAACTGGGAACTGATCCTCAAGCACTTCTCAAAACCTCCTCCGTTCCTCATCGATTCCTTCTCGTGAATAAATCACAATTCATTGTAACGATAGTTCCCAAACCACGATACCTTCTCTTTTCCTCATGTCCTCCGGTGGGAATCGACCACCGACAATTCCTCAGATAGGAATCGAGGAAATAACTAGAAACAACCGTCAATATCCATGAGAGGAACTGACACCAACATTAGTCATCATCATTCAAATTCCATAAGAAGGACCCAGACAACAACAATTACCACACAAATGCGAGGACACGCCGGGAAACTAAGGAATTGTGACAGTTCCCCGGCTTTTTTCTATATTCGGTATAATTTTCGTATCTAATGAATACTACGTCGCTACCTCAATTCCACTGGGAAACTGAGGTAAATGCCTAGAAGGAACCTATCCTAAGTCCCTATTGCTTCAAGGAGATTTGATTAGCTGAGTCGTATACCGCTTCGCTAATAGGGATAATTCTTTATTTTTCCTGGGGAATTGGTCACCAGAATTTCAATCAAGGAAATTGTCATTTAGAACTGGGCAGAACTGTAGGGGATATGTCAAGATAATGAGAAGTGAGGCTTTTCATTTTTTTCCGATATAAACTCTACACTTCTCGGGAGGCTGTCTTGATTCATTTACGACACAATAGAGACTAGGGAAAGATTTAACTTCTGCTGACAGTTGCAGGGAAATGAGAAAATGATGTAGTATTCATTAGATACTAAAATTATGCCGGAGACGGAAAAAAGGCGGGGAACTGGAGAATTGTGACAGTTCTGCTGACAGTTCCTAGGAATTAGGGTGAATACCTACAAGGTACCTATTCTCAGTTCTTCGGGTAATTGAGGTAGCGACGTAGTATTCATTAGATACGAAAATTATACCGAATATAGAAAAAAGCCGGGGAACTTTCACAATTCTTTAGTTTCCCGGCGTGTCCTCGCATTTGTGTGGTAATTGTTGTTGTCTGGGTCTTTCTGATGGAATTTGAATGATGATGACTAATGTTGGTGTCAGTTCCTCTCATGGATATTGACGGTTATTTCTAGTTATTTCCTCGATTCCTATCTGAGGAATTATCGGTGGTCGATTCCCACCGGAGGACATGAGGAAATGAGAAGGTATCGTGGTTTGGGAACTATCGTTACAATGAATTATGATTTATTCACGAGAAGGAATCGATGAGGAACTGAGGAGGTTTTGAGAAGTGCTTGAGGATCAGTTCCCAGTTCCTCGATGGATATGTCACTTTTAGCTGGTGTTTTTAGGAATTGGAAGAATTCCCAAATCTCAGTCCTTGGACACCCCTCGCTGAATCTGGAAAGTCAAACTTATTTTTTTCTGAGATGTATTGTTAAAATAAAATCTTCGTTGAAAGATCGACTAAGTGAATAGAAAAAGAATACTCGTTTGAGTTGTTTAATTAGATAGTATAATTTTTACTAAAACTTGCGTATTTTTTTTTCATTTTTACATAGAAAGATAGAGTAAAGCGAGACGAATAACTTTTCTTTCAACACTAATGCTTGAAAATGTGGTGGAGAAGTGGTACAGGTTTTCAAAGTTATCTCCAGCAAAAATTGCTGGTGTGATCCAAATTACCCCAGATCACTTTTTAAAAAAATAAAAAAGACGCCGTAGGTCTCAGCATTTTGTGAACTGTATTGCAATAGTTCAATGAATTGACGAGATCTTTGCAGGTCCCATAGAAAAGACTTTGGGGTACCGAATGGTATATTTTTTATTTAATTACGAGTTACCGTTAGTTAATAGGAAGATGGGAAAGTGAGAGTCTACCTATTTTTGCTGAAGTGATCCGAATTATCCCAGGTAGAATAGCTTACTGATCCGAATTACCCCAACTGGGGTAATTCGGATCACTTTTTTACGGCATTGAGCATTTTTGTAAAAACTCACTCAAAATATGGAATTTTTTAAAATTTTTTACATGACTCAATAGAGAACACTTGGGGCTATCGATCTATAAAAAAATCTTTTTTTTCTGATGAAAAATGACTGAGAAATAGCTAAAATACAGTCATTTTTTTGTTGAGTGATCCGAATTACCCCAACTGACTCTACAACATAAACTATGAGTATAGTGAATGCATGAAGGTTTTATTCAAATAGAACATGTTGCTCAATTTAAAAATATGTCAATGCAAATGGAAAAGTCTGTGCATAATGCATCTTTAACGCAGACAGCAAGTTTTCTTTGGATTATTAGTCTAATTGTTCTTTTTGAGCTTCTTTCCCATAGATATATTGTAAAGCTGTTTTGACTTGCTCTTTATGCTGTTCCCAGTAGGATCCAGTAAAATAGTAACCTTTCGGCGGACGTCGAGTAAGAGAAACAGAGCCGACTAGCATTTCTATTTCATCACGATCATTCTTTTGACATAAAATTTGTATCAATGTGGCTGTTACTGCACCATCTGCAGTTTCAGAAATTTTAATGTCATCTGATGTAGGATTCTGATTACTTGTCTGAAATAAATCTTTCATTCTTGTTGTAAGATTTGGTGGAAAATCGTTGAATGTCATATCAATATAATATTCGAAATCAACTTGATTCAAGTTGACCGGAAAGGTTGAACGTACAACTAAATTTTTAAAATGATCCGAACCAACTACGTGATTAAAAGGTTGTGTCAACCAACCAAAATCAGATTGTTTCTGCAGAAATTCGTTCACATAAGAAACGATCAACTTTTTCTTGGACTTCTCATTGCCAGGTTTTTGTACATGACTTCCTCTCGAATTTGATATTTCCGAAGGTTTGCCTTGATTGCTATTGGAAGCTTTTTGCTGGTTCCTTTCCATGCGTGAATCACTCTTATGGATTTTTACTTCATCATTGGTAGCTTCTTGCTGGTTCCTTTCCATGCGTGAATCGCTCTTATGGATTTTTACTTCATCATTGGTAGCTTCTTGCTGGTTCGTTTCCATGTCTGAATCGCTCTGATGAATTTTTACTTTGTCATTGGCACCTGTCTTCGGATGAGTTGTTGACTGATAGGACTGCTTTGTTTTCGTTTTTGGCATCTCAGTGAAAGATATCTATGATAAAAATCACTCAGTTTTATTAATTGTTGGTAAGATATTATTTAAAAAATTTTTAACTTTTTTTATCTTGTCCAAAGGATATTATTTTCGAGACATTTGAAAATGTGACGTGGTCTGCATTTTTTTACGCTTGATTCATAGATCAGTTTTCTCTGAATCATGACCTCCTTTTCATGTCTCTTCGTTATACAAGGTAAAAATCGAAGTTTTTAAAGAATAAAAATGGTGAAAACATACACTGTCTATTTGAGAATGCTATTTGATATATATTCAATAAACGAAGCAAACATGATGAGAGAAACGATAAATCAGAAGAAAACAAAGTGAAAATAAGAGCAAAATTTGCTTAAACATGCTGAAAATAGTATCAAATTCTTTTTTCATTGGAATCTTCCAATTTTTCGATAATGATTCATGCCCGTTTCTTCTTGAATAGCACACTCATTAAAACCGAATGAAAGTAATATAATTATATCATATTTCTGTTGCTGTTACTGTTTGAAAAATCCTACTTACGTCACTATGCTTATATTTAGTGATATCTACATACTCGATTGTTTAGATAAACTATAAAGTGAATGAGAGCGTACACGTACAGTACGGCTTCACTACAGAAAAAAAAAACAATAAATTATTCATCGATAGCACACTACTATTTTCTAACTATCTAAAATCATTGCTTTTTAATACTCAATATGTATATATTGAAGATAATACAGTGCTAGTAGCAATTGTGTTTTTTCATACGTAGATATCCTCTCAATTCAACTTTTCATTCAAATAGTATCAGAAAAGAAGACATACCCAGATCAATGATTCCGGAGAACAGATACTGCGGGAACCGGCAGGAAAATGCGGGAAAAAACACCGTATCCTGCAGAAAAACCCGGGAAGTCGCGGGAATCGGNCCGGTTTATTAGAAGCTTATTTGAGTTTCAGTACATCAAACTTTAGCTTTCTCGAAAAAAGCTATTCTAGTAAAAACATCTTATTAATAGTGAAGATTTTTGTACGACTCTCAGTTACTAAAATACCTTGTTCAACTACGTGATGCTTTTGAAAACGACACAGACCCTCCATCTTTTGTTTTTGAAAGAACTTATTTATTCGATCCTTTTATCATAACGTCCAAGATTCTTTCCGAAAAATAGAATAAGGTCAGCCTCCCCAAACCTTCATTATTCAAATTTAGGGGAGGCTTGAGCCTCCCGAAGCCTAATGGTTCCGCCGCCTATGATGCAACATGATATGACACATTGTATTTAAATGGTCACTTTACTTTTTCCTGATATTGTAAACAATATGTTAATGAATATTATAAAATACCGATTGACTTAATAACCAACGAATTGGGAATTGTCAAATAAAACTCGAAGAACTCGATAGGGTGGGGTGTGGGTGTGAATGCCAATCCAACTCACACCCACACCTAGGGATGTGCAGTTTCGGTGAAAACAGTGAATTACTGACAGTGATGCCACTGCACTGAGCGCACTGACTGCAATGACACACTGACACTGGTGTTCACTGAATCAATACATACACTGACACTGACTGCTTCGGTTGCAGTGTCTGCACCGACATGGTGTTCACTGAATCAGTGCATACACTGACACTGACTGCACTTGTTGCACTGACTGCATCGGTGTCAGAGTTCACTGAAACAGTGATGCTCACTGAAGTATCAAGTCACCGACTCTATCAAAGTATGCACTGCTCGTGACTTTCTTTATAATTATCAACGAAATTAGCGAAATGACCGTACATATTTCTCCAAAACCTAGGACTCATTTAAGTAATCTATAATTTTGAATAATAAAATCAATTTCAACGAAATATGCTACTTATAATTCTAATATTGACACATAACTACGGTATTTTATGACTCAACCAGATTCATTTAAAGAAGATAAGAGTTTCTTAAAATTTATGTGGACTTTGTAAAACTATTTGTATCGTTACGATTAAATAAATTTTTCGCTTTATTTACTCTTTTTTATACAATGGTGAAAAAAGTGTATGTACGTAAAAATGTATGTAGCTTATCTCAATCAAGAAACCAAACTGTTGAGCGGATATGCTTCTATTCAATGAAATTTTTTTGTTCACCCATATATTACAAACGGACGATGTCGTCGTCTTCTGTATATAAATTCTAGTCAATGGAAATCAGTATCAATACGTCAGTGTTCCAGTGTGCATCAGTGCAACAAGTGCAGTCAGTGTCATCAGTGTACCGGTGAATGCCAGTGTGACTTTATCGGTGGTCAGTATACTGAAACTGCACATCCCTATATGATATATACCGTTGGATAGAGGAAGTCTTTCTCTACAAACCTACATATATCCCAGTTTTTAGTCAAAAATTGATCTGTAAATTATAGTTGCCTTTATTCAAAAAATACTCGCGATTCTTCTTTTTTGAAATAGATAAAAAGTTACCTTTTTTTTTTATTTTAATAATCTGACAAGATTCATTATACAAACTAGTCGTAGTATGAAGAAATGTGTAATATCAGTAATCGTGATTGATCTTATTTACAGTATCATAAGGAAAAATGTGCAAAAATAAAACTAAATAATATATTAAAGTTTTCGATCCTCATGAAATTAAATATTAGTCGATTGAAATAAGTTCATATCTTTAGTTATGAATTTATATAAGATTTTGCATTATTATTTCAAAGACATTAGATATATATACTACAAAAATGAATGTATGTCCATTGAGAAAAGTTCAGTGATACATATTGTACGAAACTATAATTTCAAACCGACATTCATTTGCAATTTGTAGATATGTTACGATCGGCTATGACAATCAAAAATTTAGAATTAATTTCATTTTCAGAATTTTATGAAAACATTTTTCAAAAAATTCACGAATCGAGTTCATCTGAAAAAATAATTTTGCCGTTCAGCTACTGTACGGTATTTGGTACTGTTCAGAGATAGTTTCTTAAGTCAAGTATCTTGCCGAGAACAATGACTAGTTGCAACGCTCTAGACAGAAGTCCAACATAATTATTAGACCATAGCAGCGAATTCATGCAGTACAATCACATGAATTTGATAAGAACGTTGAATTCACTCAACAGACTAGAAAAACTTTGTATTCAAATTATTTTTATCAGTTAACCTTGACAGATGTTGTTAAAACCTCTTCAATGATTAAAACTACAATGTCGTATATTAAACTCATAGAAATTTACATGCAGCGCGTATTTTTTTTTCTTTTAATATTTCATCGATATATTAAATTGATTAAAATCTGATTGTTTGAGATAGGAAAAGAAACCAAAATATCATAATCATTTCGATTTAGGATACTTTTCAACGTATTTGGGATAATATGGAAGCTGCACAACGTTATCAAAAAGTATTTAATAATTATGAAGTACATGATCGTGTTATAGTAGAAAACAATTTTGAACGTGTTAATTTTTGGTCAATTATACATCTAGTTCTTATGGTTACAGTATCGATTATTCAAGTTGTAACTATTCGAAGTTTATTTGAATCAAAATCTGCATATGGTAAACTTTTACGTGGAAAAAAATAAAATCAAAAGAAAAAACACATTTTAAAGACAAAATATATATTTCTGTGTGTGTGTGTGTGTGTGGTCCTTTTATATACGTTTATTGACTGTGAAAATTATCAAACAAAAGCGTACGAACAACAAAATAATTTTGAAGTGTTAAAAGTTAAAAGATGTTTTGCATTGTTTTTTTTTCTCATGTTATTAACAATAAGAAAAGCTGATAATAATTTGCCTTCGTTTATTCTTTTCTTTTTTTTTTCATCTATCGTTGTTTTTTAGTAGGTGTTGTGAAAGAAGTATGTATGTTGTTATTTCTTCTTTTTTTCGCGTCGTCATTGTCCTTTCTCTTTTTCTTTATTCAGCCGGTGTCTGTGTGGAGAGAAGAAATGGGTAATGCATTTTTCATGTTTTTTTTTTCTTAGTTTAAGAATAACATACACGCGTTATGCCAACACGAAACAACCTGCTTTTTATTAGTCTCTTTCCTTTTCATCCTATTCTATCATTCCCATGGATGGTCAGTTCGAATAAATGAAGAACAATAAAACGGTACGGTGATAACAACACATCGAATAGAGTAAGTATATATGCGTCTCGAAAGTAGAAGTACTCATACTTCTTCTTCTTCTTCTTCTTCTTCGTCTTTTGTTTCTCAACTACTTCACCTATCTGTAGAGAGTGAGCATATGAACAATACAGACATTTTCGTTTTGTTTTGCTTTGTTATACTCTCTAGAGCAATGTTGTTCTAATGAACCAATGTCCTATGATCAAGTGAAGTAGGAGGAGACGAAGAAAGAAAAAAAGAGGAGGTGCCAACATCAACATAGACGACTGAACATATTTGCATTGCAATCGTTCACGAGAGACATTCGTTTTCGTCGATAGTCGTTTGCCTTATAAACCAAAAAAGTGTTTCTTTTTTTTACCTTTTCTTTTGTTTTTTAATAAAATGAAAAACAAAACATCTATTGATCATTTATGAGAGAACAAATCGAGTATATATGATATGATTAACATGTGTCGTCTCTTTCATTGAAAAAAAAAAATATAGACAAATTAAATAATATTGAAATGAATAGAAGAACAAAAAACACGACGTAACAGATCATTTTTCATTTTTGATGATTTATATTATAGAAGGAGAGCAATCATTTTTACATTTTATTTGCTTTCGGATGATCGTATGTACCCGTGTATATTTGTACCAAGATTAATCTTTATGTATGTATACATACTAAGTTTTCTTTTCTAGATTTTTTTTTTGTTTTCGTTTTTATAAAAAAAAAAAAATATTTTGCAAAATCTGTTAATGACAAGTAACGGTTTAGCATCGAACGGACCACGACCACGTTTATGTCATCTTCGTCGATGGCCTGATTTTGTTGGTTATGGTTTTAATTTACATTCAGAAAAATCTAAACCAGGTCAATATATTGGTAAAGTTGATCCGAATTCACCAGCTGATTCAGCTGGTTTACATGAAAATGATCGTATAGTTGAAGTTAATTTTGTTCCTATTGGAAATGAAAATCATAAACAAGTTGTACAAAGAATAAAAGAAGGTGTTACAAGAAATGGTACAAAATATCCTGAAGAAGTCATTTTATTAGTACTTGATCCAGATGCTGATGAATATTATAAAAGTAAATCAATTGTTGTTAAAAGTTCAGATCCAAATGTTGAAAAATTAGAAGCAAAAAGTCAAGATGAAATAAGTTAGATTTATCAATAAATATTGATATTTATATATTCTTTTTTTGTATATTATTAGAAAGTGGTGATAGTTCACCTAATTTATCGGATAGAAATAGTGGCAAAGGAGATGACTCACCTATTACACGACAAGCATCACCACCAAAACAATCGAATGAATACAATCGAGAATATAAACATGTTACTGATTTTACCCGTCCACAAGTCACACAAAATAAAGTAAGAACAATTATTATTTATTTTTCTAATAGAAAATTTATTTTTTTATGATTCGATTTTTTTGCTTCACTTTCATACCTTTTGATATAATAATATCAACGAGTCATTATTACAAGTACATTTTATATTTTCACATATACCTGAAAACAATGGTACAAAAGTACAAAAACAAAGTATTTTAGACAAACCTGACATTTTCTAATAGACATGAGCAATAATACAGAACAATAGAGGGCTATTATGTAAAACCCTCGAAGTAAAGTAGACACCCCTTGATTTGGTCTCTGATCCGTATTCGAGTTTTTGAATCAAATAGGCTATAAAACAGAATTATTAAATTTTTTAATATCATCTTCTCTGTAATAACTTTTTGAAATTATTCTAATAATGTTCTCTGAGAATATTTCTTTTAGAATGCTGATTTACCATTAACATCGCGAGCATTTGATCAAAATTATGTGAATCCTGATGATCATGAACCTTATGTTCAAACAACTCCTTCTAATTCAGACAAAAATAAACGTAAGATATTTACTTCAGTAAATATTCATACTATTATCAGTGCTAGAAGTTAAACCATTTTAATGTTTTTTTCAATAACTCACTCGATATGCTAGATAATGATATGCTCTTTTTCGAAAAAATCATACTATCTTTGAAAAATCAGAGTGTATTTTTGAAAAATTAACATACCAAACAATTGATGATTTTTATTGTCTTTTAAGTGTTCTCTATAGGATTGAATTCAAGCAAAAGTTAGTTTTTGCTCAAATCAAGAGTTTCGGATAGTTTTCAGAAACGCTAGAGTCTTCATATTTTTCTGTCTGACTGGGTTTTATGACTATATTTTTTTTTTCAGAAAGAAATTCAATAACCATATGAAACCCTACAATATATCAGCAAAACAATTTTTAATTATTACCATCAAAAATTAAAAACTTCTCAATTCTGTAAAAGATGCATTCAAACTGCTTGAAAAAATCAAAATATAATCCGTTGTCTATGCATAATATTACCAATCTCACGAGAGACTTTCGAAATCAGTAGATCTATCCGGAATGCATCAATTCGAATATAGTTTCTTTTTTTTTTTGAAGCAGTTCGAATGCATTTTAACAGAATTATAAAGCTTTTAAATGTTGATAGTAATTACTAAAAATTGTATTGCTGACTTACTGTAAGATTTTCTATGATTAATGAATTTACTTTTTTAAAAACTAACATATTCTAAAAATTCAATATGATCGATAATTTATCCTTTCATACATTTCTTAAGATGTTTGACCAAAAAAAAACATAGAAACTGTAGTGCTTCTGAAAAAAAAAACAATTTTTGGAATTCTTGACTACTGATTGGTGAAAATCGCATGAAGTATTGAAAAAAAAAATTTGAGTTTCGTAATTTCTATTGCCGATAGTTATATAAATTTTTGAAAAAAAAAAAACATTTCTATACTAAATCTACAGGTTCAAATTTATCTCAATCATCATCTGGTAATGGATCAGGAGGAGTATTTGAACTTCGTAAGAAAACATAATTTTGTTATTTATCTTTAATTTTATAATTATAATTTTTATTTTAGCAATGTCAGCAGCTGAATATCGAGAAAAATTAAAATCACAAAATGGTCGTAAACGTGATTTACGAAAAAATAATCAAATGTCAATGAAAGAAAAACATGATGTTATTGATCGTTTGTAAATTTTCGATGAGCGTGAAGAAAAAAAACAATTTAAGAATCATAGAAAAAAAAAAAATAAAAAGCATAAAAACCCTGATTTTTCTTGCCAATTTTAATTAATTTCGAAATAATGTCCTATTCGTCTAGTGTTTACTGTTATTTGTACTTTTACTATTTAAATTGTTGTGTATGTGGTTGTTTTTTTTTTTCTCTCTTATCTTTTTACTATTTTCTTCTTCTTGTTTTGTCTTCTCATTTGAAGAACACTTTCCATACAGTACATAACAGTGAATTTTATTCAAATTAATTGATCCTTCGTAGAAGAACAAAACAAAACAAAGACGCACATTTGTACATTATGATTATGATATACTGATTTTATTCCACTTTTCTCTGCTGTTGTTGTTTTCGTCCAAAGAAATGTGTGATGATCTGTGCGCTAAACAAATAAAATATTAATAATAATAAAACTTGTCGAAATAATTTATCTCATCATGTTTTATTTCGAGTTGATTTTCTTTTTTTCTATACAGAAATGCGAAGATAGTTATTAGTTTATCGTGATTGAGTTAATTTATTTATTAATTTAGTCACAAGATTTTTTTTTTTTTCTAAGAATCAATAGACAAAAACTAATTAGTTGCAGAAAAGATCTGAAAATATAGATATGAGTTTATCTGACTGCACGTCGATATGTATTAACTTGTCCAGGTCGACGACAATATATTTTATTAGGTGGTAAATCTCGATTTGTACATCGTGTTGCTAAATCTGAAAGCCATGTACCAATTGTCCATATACGTTTAGCTTCTTCTTCTGTAAAATCAAATGAAAGTAATTTTGCCATAATAACATTATTTGTTTCTAAACATGGTGTTGTTGTTTTTGAACTTGAACATAAATCATAACCAATTTGATGTTCAACTAAAACTCTAACACCAAAAAATCTACTATCCATACATGAATAATCATAAATAATTGTTTGTTTTATTTGAAAAAAATCAAAATATGGTAATAAACCTCGATTAAATTGATAAATATAATCACCATTATTTGATATAGTTTCAAAAACACATTTATCAAGATCTTTTATATGTATAAAATTACAATAATCATCATTAATATGTAATTCTTCTTCATCAGCTTTACCAATTGATGTACGAATATCAAATATATCATCAAATGTTTTTGGATAATTTGAATTATGTTTTGATTTAACAACATCAATATGTGTATATTTTGTTGAATATTTTAATAAACGTTTAACAGAAAAAAATCTTTCATCATTTGTATTACGTTTTAATTCAAGAATTAATCGTTTTGTTTGATAACGTAAATATAATCGATATGTTATTTGTGAATCATTTGTCGAACGAAAACCAGCACATGTTAATTCATAATCAAACATTTGAATATCATTAATACCTTTATTTTTATTAAATGTTATTAAAAAATCTTTATCTTTCCGTGGTCGACGTTCTTCATTACGTAATGATTCAGCACTGATTGTTCGACAATAAAGACTTTTAGGATATTGATTTTGTTGTCGACGATTTTGATATGTATAAACAGTACCAAGACGAATTTCAACTGGTAGTGAATTTATTTGTTCATTATCTCGAAAATCTTTTGACTTCCGATTGAAATCTTCAAGAAATAAATTTTCCAAATGATTAATTTCATCATCAACATCATCAACTATATTCACTATTGGAACACAATTCATTTGGTTCATATGTTCAGGGTTAACAATCCCTGAATATGGTTTAAGTTGCACTTGTGATTGTGCGTTTGTAGCGTTTTCTATCAACATTCTTTTGCTATTTATTTGAAGATAATATAATATACAACTAGAAAAATCGCTCCTTTTATCTGGAGTAATAATCGATGACTCATGTATGTGTACTTTACTCATTCGTTCTGTGACTGCCTTTGATATAGTAACTTGTACGTGGCAGACACGAAACGGACGACCAAAATATTAAATCATGCCTTTTCTTTTTCGTATTTTGTAAACATAGACAAATCTAGACGATTTGTCATGTTTATTTACAGAAAGATTTTTAAAAGTTTATCATGAAAAATATTCTATGTCATAATAATAGAATTTCTCAATAGAGAATACAATATTTTGTTTAGTTTTAATCAATTTCATAACCAATGATTATTCATAAGTGTGAAAAATATTGTGTAATTATAGAAGATTCTAGAATCGTAACCTATTTGGAAAGTTTCAAGTAAATGATGAATTTCGTTTTTTCCTTCTGTTTGATAAAGGAATGAAATGTAAATATTTGGTGTTTATTGTGCAAAAAAAAAGAATTTTGAAACGTGTTTTTTACTATCCAGATATCATTATTATGTTTTTTTGATCCATCATATGCTATAGATTCATATTTAGAAATGAAAATAATATTATCAATATTTCTCACGTGAAACTACTCTTTGCCATGTTCTCAAATAATCTGTGAGAAAAATGTCACATCTGGAGTATTGTGTAGGTGTTGTTTTTTTAAATCTAAAACTATATCGATTAAAAAAAAAAACAATATATTGAAGTTGGTCAATATTTAAATTAGAAAAATGCCAAAAATTCCTAATTTAAAATAGCTAAATGTCTAAAATATTTTTCAGATTTAACCGAAAAGAAAAAGAATAACTAAAAATGGGTGTTCTTGAACGTATAGCCGATATTGAAGCTGAAATGGAGAAAACTCAAAAAAATAAAGCAACAGCACGTCATTTAGGTTTACTTAAAGCTCAATTAGCTAAACTACGACGTGAATTAATTGATCCTAAAGGTAGTGGTGGTGGTGGAAAAGGTGAAGGTTTTGATGTAGCTAAAACTGGTGATGCTCGTATTGGTTTTGTTGGTTTTCCATCAGTCGGAAAAGTATGTTTCACAATATTTTCAATCTTTCTATAAAAAAGAAAATAATCTTTCTAAATATCTAGAGTACATTATTAACAAATTTAGCTGGTGTTTACAGTGAAGTAGCAGCTTATGAATTTACTACACTTACAACAGTACCTGGTGTTATACGATATAAAGGTGCAAAAATCCAATTACTCGATTTACCAGGTATTATTGAAGGAGCTAAAGATGGTAAAGGTCGTGGTAAACAAGTTATTGCAGGTATATTTTTTCTTATAAAAATATTCAACTTTGTTTTTTTTTTTTTTTTTTTTTTGTGTAAATATTTTTAGTTGCTCGAACATGTAATCTGATATTTATTATATTAGATGTACTTAAACCATTAGGTCATAAACGTTTAATTGAATATGAACTTGAAGGTTTCGGCATACGGTTAAATAAAGAACCACCGAATATTTATTTTAAACGAAAAGATAAAGGTGGATTAAATTATCAAGCTTTAGTACCACAAACATCACTTGATCTTGATACAATTAAAGCTATACTTGGAGAATATAAAATACATAATGCTGTAAGTGAAATTAATATAATATATTTAATATTACATAGAGTAGTCTTTAAAAAAAATAATTAGTTGATTAACAATAGCGAAGAATATAAACAACGAATATTTAAGAAATACGTCACAGTTGAATCTTGTCATAAAATGTCTCCGGATTATATTATCGAATAATGGCAGAAATATTTCGAAGCAAGAAGAATTAGGAGATGTGCCCTTCACCAATCTCTGAAACAAGCGCTGATTCCCTAAATATCTTGAACTCTACCTTATTACCGATAATCGTTCTGTCACGTCGACTTTGATGACTTCGGGCAATCCCTAGATAACGATGACTCATAGTACATATTTAAAGCATTAATTCAATTGTAGGTTAGATGTCGAGCGAAAGGATTACTATAAAATACAATTCGAAAGTTTTAAAACAACTACATTCTTGCCAGATTTGAATCTAATATATGGTTAAATAACTCATTATTGTAAACGAAAGATTTTAGTAACATATATTTCAGTTTGTTACTAATTACGTATGATCCATGTAAATCCTATTTCACAAATTAACAATTATCACTGATCATAAATTGAAGGTAATAAACTTCAGTTTCATAGATGAGCATCAAGATAAATGGATAAAAGCACTTTCTGGTCTCATAATATTATATACTGTTTTTGATTAAATGAGAAAAAATTTTTGCTGAATGAATTACTGAAGTTTAATTTAAAAAAAGAAAGGCCACAATGCATCTAATCAATAACGATTCACAATCGTTATAAAATCATTTGATTCTCACATAGACATGCAACTAAAAGATTTTCATAAAATCAAAATAGAACATTGCTTTAGATTTAGATTAATTGCTCATTTAACGAAATTATTTGAACATTTTAAATCTTCTTATAATGATTAATCCATAAGAAAATATGTTCTATATAATTATTGTGTTTTTGTTTTGTTTCTTAATTAGGATATTATTTTACGTTGTGATGCAAGCGAAGATGATATTATTGATTTAATCGAAGGCAATCGTGTTTATGTTCCGGCTATATATGTTTTAAATAAAATCGATCAAATATCAGTTGAAGAATTAGATATTATTTATAAAATTCCTCATTGTGTACCTATATCAGCTCATCATAAATGGAATTTTGATGATTTACTTGAAAAAATGTGGTTATATTTAAAACTTGTAAGAATTTATACAAAACCAAAAGGTCAATTACCAGATTATTCAGCGCCTGTTGTACTTACACAAGGACGAAGTTCAGTTGAAGATTTTTGTAATAAAATTCATCGAGCTATATTACAAGATTTTAAATATGCACTTGTTTGGGTAAAATTTATCTTAATGTTTTTTTTTTAAATTCTATTTTAATATTAATTTCCTTTCTTTTTTTTTTTCAAGGGTGCTTCTGTTAAACATCTTCCACAAAAAGTTGGTAAAGAACATGTACTGTAAGTATCATATATTCTTTTTATTTTACAGAAAAAAAAAAAAAACGTTTTTTTTTCTTCTTTTTTCTTCCTTTAGTATTGATGAAGATGTCGTACAAATTGTGAAAAAAGCTGGTTAAATCAATGTTATATTTTATTTATCGTTAAATAAAAACATACTTCGATCAAGATGAATAATGATTGATCTTATTGTTATCGAAGCAAAAGATAATAAAACAAAAAAAAAAAAAAAAACTTAAAACGACAGTTTTTTAAGTCAATAAAAAAAAAACTGATGCTTTACACAAAAGTGAAGCACATCATTTTCTCAAGGTTTTTTAAATCTGAATCATTAAAAAAAAAGTAGATATAATCTATGTGAGGCTTTTTTAATCTATTCGTCTATCTTCAAATAGAAAACGAAATTGATATTTCGTACTTTTATTCAAAAATACCAAATCATATTTCAGTAATTATAATGTAAGCAAATAAACAAAAGTACGTTAATATAGGGCGTAGTCAAAGTTTTGTCATGTTTCGTCTTTGATAAATATTCAAGGTGACAAATTATATGAAATGCAATATTTGATTATCTACAAAGCAAAGAAAAAGAACAGACATTTTTTATTGGCTGCATTATATGACTCAGTAAATGAAATCTACTTTCTACGTACTTTTTTTTTATAGTAACGGATGATTAGAAAGTTTTTTTCGACACAATGTTTGTTTTTGACCAATTAAAACGATTTCTCAGAAAAACGAAGCGATTGTGAAAACTGAACAAGTGATTTTTAGGATTTTAGAAGTTTAAAAATCATTTTGCCTACAGTTTTCTTAGATGTTCAGCTTGAAATCCTAAAAACTAGATATTTTTCAATTTCAATATCATAATTAAACTAAACTTACAATTTTTCAAGAAATTAGTTAATTAAGGAACGTCTTCGATTACAGCCGGTGTATTGCTTCTCCGACGGGATTTTCTAATGCGAAGAGTTTATTTGTGACGAGTCAAAGGAACTATAAGCTAAGATACTCTTTTCAAATATGGACTTAGAAAATGTTATCTCAATTTTTCTTCCAGACTGATGAAATAATCTTTGAAAAGTCAAAAAAATTTCTTTGAACAAAACTTGTTCATTTCGGTTTACTTCAAAGTATTTCAGTAAGAGTCGCGATCAGAATTTGAAAATAGCTTTTTGTGTTTTACCCAATGAATCTTTTTTTGAACATGTTAGAAATTGTCGGAATCAGTCATTTTGTAGATCAGACAATTCTCCATGAAATGTGATGTTGAACTAAACTGTATGTAAATAAAGATGTACATTTTTAACTTCGAATCACAATAGTGAAAATATAAAAAATTTCCGTTCAATCTATTTTATTTTTTAGGCTTTTCAAAGATTATTTCACTACTCTCGAACACAAAAGAAAGATAAAATTTCTAAGTTCATCTTCAAAAAGAGCATAAAAACATAACATTTGACCAATTCGAAATACTGTGTAATGGATCAATAGTGAACAAACTTTCCGATTATATTATTTCCATGAAAACAAAATATTTAGTTTAAAAAATATAATTTTGTGTTGAACATTTCTTTCGATTAAAATCTTCGAAATCTAACTTCATCGAAGTGATTGTGAAGGAATTTTTTGTTTTGGAATAACATTAGTAAAGCAATTAAATATTTTTACTCTTACATAGTAACAGACTTATTCTTCATAGATTAAATAAATGCGAAAACCTCGGATTTAAATCCGAGTGTTATGTGTACTTCAAAAAGTGAAAAGGCATATTCACTGTGTTTTTTATCACTAAATTGCAAGGAGAAAATACAGACGTGCTAAGTTAGCATGGACCATACTGTATGCGACCCTATCCGGTGACCACTGAGTGATATAATATCTTTAGAAATCACAGGAATTGAGTTCAGATTCGTGTTTAACTTGGAAAACTGGGTAAGAAGAGTTATTTTTGAATGAATTTGCGTTTGTATCTACCAGGATNAGTCAGAAGCATAGCATATTATTAGTTTCTAAGCTCAATAGGTTATTTCGAAAACACACCAGTGTATCTTGTTTACTCCTATGTGACTGGAAGAGGAATTATTGCTTTTTTGTCGAATTTGATTACCATATTCGGTCTGACTGTACTGATTTGCAGAATAAACCATGTTTATGTTGCACTCTTTCATCTTCAAGGACTGCAGTAATCCGATTTCTTTTGCAAATTGATCCAATCAGACAAAAAAAAAACGAAAATAAAATTCGACAAGAAAAGATCAGTTTTGCTACAGTCACAAAAGCATGTACAATATACATTAGAGCACTTTTTGAAACAAACTATTGAGGCTAGAGTTCAGAGACAAAATCAAAAAAAAAATTATGTTGTCTTATTTTTGTCCCTCTCTGTATATAAATATATTGTACGGAAATTTATTTTTAACAAGCATGTATTTTTCTATAATGTAAAGCACAAGTAGCTCAAATTTCGATAGTACTTTTATTAATCGATGCAGTTTTCTTCTATCAAGATTTCTAAACAATTTTTAAAATTCTAGAATAATGTCATTTTTAATAGTACAAAGTGAAAGGTCATCGCATTTTCTACAACTTTCCATTCAACGTATCACAAAAAAATGAAAAAAAGGTATTTTTTTAGTCGATTTTTGTTTTTTTGTGATACATTTAACATTTTAACGGAAGATCGTCGAATCTTCGATGATCCTCTCATTTTGTACTCTTTAAAATGGTACTGTTAAAAAAAATAGTTTCTCGGACTTGAAAACTAGGACCTTGGTAACAGAAAACTCTATTGACTGTTAAAATCACTATTTAAATTTGAGCTAATTGCTTAACATTAAAGAAAAATTGATTGTTATTAAATTTTTTTCCACTACTTTATTTATATAGATAGTACTGGAAAATATTTCGGTGTAAATTCTTTGTTACATTTTTGTGCTAGACATTTCGCCCTTTCTAACAAAAACAAAAGGATCATATCCGTACGATATTCCATTACAATCCCATGTCAAAATCAAAATTTTTTGTTCCATCTACTAGTCGAAGCACAGTATTGATGTTATTAGCTTGTAGTTTTATTTTTATTTTATGTATTTTAGTAAATTATATGTTTATAGCATTTTGTCCTGTACGTCTAAATAATAAATATAAACGACTTTTATCTTATATAAATAATTTATCAATACAATACATCTTTGTATGTCATCAAGTTCGTCTAGTGAATATAATTATGAATAATTTTGAATTGACAAAAATTTTCTTATGAAAATATGAAAAAAATAATTGTATTGTCTAATTTATCATTTTCAAAATTTATAATATAAAAGAATATATATATTTTTATGTAGTTTTGTATATATTCTTGTAATTATTTTAGAGTATTCATCAATAGATATTAGATTTCATTCTTTGTTTAATAAACTTCTGAAAATTTCTATCTAAATGACTTAAATACTTCAGTTCATTTCAGATTTTTTTTTTACTATACAGTAACAATTATACATAAAAAGTATTGAAATTTTGGGATGATAGAAAACTCTGGACCATGACAAAATACTTTAATTTTCTCCCTTTCGTTTTATAGAATAGACAATTCTCTACGAAATGTGATGTTGCACTAAGCTATAACTTTTACTTAAGTGAGACTACAAACATTTTTTGAAAACTCCTTTTAACGTAAAACAGTTATCGATTTTTCAATACAATATCAGCAGTTCGATGATGTTTCACATTTTTAATTCTCCAGAGATTACACTAACAGAATTAACCAAATCTTTGGTGATTGCCGACAAGATCTATAGGGATTCATAACGAAAACGTTCGTACACAATGAACTCTGACGTTTATTTCCATATAAGTAACATTCAGGAAATATTTTTTCAATTCATATATAGAACTAATTATAAAAAAAAAGAAGGATATTTTAAATGGTGCATTGCTTGTAAGTATCTAATTTCAATTCCAAAAAAAAAAACATAAAACTTGGGTATTACAATACTAATTAAGTTTTCTACGATAGAAAATGCGTGCAGAAATTTTAAAATTTTCCACTATCTTTTAACGATCACTTAATGAATATAATAAAACATTACAAGAATGATTGCTCGTTTTTTAAATAGACATAAAAATTATATTTATTCCACTAGGAAGATTTGTTCCGGTAATGCATCATAATAACTTCGTAATAGACCTATTTTCTCATATTATTCAAAATATTAAAAAAAGAAAATCTTTATGTTTTTATTCTTTATGTAAAATTTCACTCGGACAGGATTGAATGATTATTAAGCTAATGTTGAATTTCTTGTTCAATAAATACTATTTATTGTTCAGCTGAATGATGTATAATACTTGAATTTACTTGTTATTAAACTTCTGCAAAATCGATATTAAGAGAAATATCAAGAAAAATCAATTTTTTTCTTCTAAAAGTTTAATAAATTGAATAATTTTTTTGTTTATTACGTTCTAATAAGAGATCTTATTTTTATTGAATAAAGAAAAAAAAAATATATCTTAGTAAATAAATTTTCTCACAATTTATCGATATAATAATAAAATAACATGATGTTTTATATTTTAATTTATTTAAATAAAAAACTTTATTTTTCACAATTTGCACCAATAGATTATATATCATGTTGAATGCTTTCATTGTTTATTGTGATAAATTTACTTTGTTTACAGAAAGAATACATGTGACAAAGTAAACGAACAGAAAGAATATAGCTAAATAGTCGTCCATTTAATCGTCAGATAGTTCATATTATTCGCGATTACTTTTAAACATAAGACTGTAAATCGAAATGAGTTCTATATCGAAAGCATCAAGTCGATCATCATCATCAGGTTTTTCATCGATTGTAAAAAAACCATTTTCACCGGTTTGTAATTATTTTTTTCTAATAATTTCTTCTTATTATTGTTTTTAGACTACAACTTTACAAACAGTACTTAATATACAACGAGCTGATATAAATGCTCGTGCAATATTTTGTGGTGAACAAGTAAATAAAAAACAAATCAAAATTTAAAATAAATATTTTTCTTTTTCAAATAAAGGATTATCGTTTAAATGAATTACGTCGTATGACTTGTGCTATTATTGATCTTACCGTAGTTCAAGATACAAAACGTCTATTTGAACGAGTTAATTGGACAATATCACATCATAATAGAGATGTTCGTGATTTTGTTGTACGCCGTCTTAATTATTGGATGCAACAAACACAAATTACTTGTGATATGGCTTATGATGATGCTATTTTTCTACAAGAAACACGTAATTATTCTTTCGTTTTTTTTTTCTCGTTTCTTCTGAATTATAAACATCGATTTATATTTTCTTAGATGAAAAAAAAATGAAAAAACCACAACGACCACCACTTTCAGCAGCTAATTTTGGCCGTCGAAATCGAACACGAAGTCTAACTCGTTCGTATTAAATCTTCTATTTAATGTTTTTTTTTTTTTAATTTATTTTTCAGAATCAGATATTACAGATTTGAATTCAAAACGTGATCATACACCTAGTACACCATCAGCTTCATCATATAAATGTGATACACCTTTTACAGGTCTTCTTGGTCGAACACTATTAAGTATTCATTGAAGTAACAGAATTATTGATTAATTTAATTGAAGTTGATTTTAGATCGTGATTCACAATATACTAATCGTGAAAAATTATTTACACCTCGTAAAGATATTCCTCAAACTAAAGAAATATTATCTAATCATGCAACTGAATATGTAAGTGATGAAGAACATTTATAATACTATAAATAAAGGATAAATTTACTATAAAGAAATCTAGATACAAACTTTTATCTAATATATTTATACATATATCTAATTGTTTAATTTTATTCTAATCGTTTTTCAACGTTGAAATGACTCCAGCTGAAGTCAATCAATTAATGGAAACAGCAAAACGAGCAGGAGTCTTATCAGATACATCTGAATATGAACTGTAAGGACTTTTCTTTTTTTTTTTATTGATTAATAAAACACTTAAATTCGAATGAGTGATTTGTAGGAATGAAAATCGAGTATGCTTTGCAGATACAGTATCATTATCTAAGCTAGCTGAAATGTTACGAAATAATGAATTAAAACCTACATCTGATATATGTGAAATTGATAAAGTTATACAACAGAGTACAATGAATGTAACAAGTCATGAACAAATACGACAATTCGATGGCAAACGATATTGTTTTCATCGAGTTATACTTGATGATCATATACAATTTCCTGCTGGAATAAGTCAAAGTCCTAGTGAAGCACGACGACTTGCTTATCGACATATGATCGATGTATGTTTAAATGAAGGTGGTGTTAAAATGAAAATGTTAACTGGTACTCGAGTTAAAGTTGTTAAAGGACCAAAATTAGAAGAAAAAAATCGTCATAATACAGATGACTTAGATATGAATGGTATAACGTTTTCTTTTAATTAAAGAATGCATTGAATTTTCTTGTTTTTTTCTTTTAGCAACGTACATTTCTGTAAATGATTTATCATGCTTATCTCAATGCAATATAGTACATTAAATAAAAAGCTATGAACTTCTTTCTCCTTTCTTTTTTTAAAATTTTTTAAAGTGCACTCTAATTAAATAGATTTTAATAAAACGAAATCGTTTACATAATACAATCTTTTTCATTATAATAAAACTAATTTTTATTTCTAAAAATTAAACATCATAAATAGAAATGTATTGATTTCATTATATATTATTAAAAATAAAATTTCTAAAGAAAACTTCATATATATATGAATGTCGGAATACAGATCCACACATTTTTCTAAAGGCTTTTCAAGAAAAAGAACATATATTTATTAAAAAGAAAAGAAGTAACAACGGAAATTAATTGTTTAGATATATCGTTTTCTGATTCTAAATTAATTGAAAGCAATAAATATATTAAGTTTTAGTGTACTTTGGACGAGATAGAAAAAGAATTCTATTGTCTATTGATTTTACTTCTTTCAATATTTACTGAATTTTCAAATCAATTGCACATATTAGTTTTTTTTCAATGTCAAATATAGATAAAAACAATAATCATCAAAAACAATCGTTTAACATCTGTGTATGTATAGAAAACGTTAACAATAGCTGCCATGATGCTTTGCCTCACTACTGTTGTCTTGAATCATTTCTTTTTATGTATGTACGTATTTGCATGTTCTTGTCGTCAAAGCAGAACAGAATGACGCCTTTTATTCATTGCACTTAAAACATAACCAATAGCATTTCTCTTGTGAAATATTTCTAAGAAACCGATTTCTTTATGATATAATAGAAAGTTTGTTTTATGTTGTTGACAGCAACCTTTTACCTTCATTGAACAACATCAGTAAAAAAAAAAAGAATGATTACAAGCATGCCCGTGCGATTTATTTATGAATCACAGCAAGTTTTATAGTAGAAATTTTTTAAACGTATATTGTTCTCGATACTTCCAATAATAAAGAATATGTTTCTATTCATTGAAATAAAATCAGGTAGATATATCATATCTTTATATTGAAAAAATAAAATCAGCAAAGATTAAAATTATAATTGACCTTACGTCAATATTTTCTTTTATAATCGATTAATACGTCTATTTGACAATGAAACTAAAAAACAAAGAAAAATATTTATTAGTTATTTCGTCTTTTTAAATTGTATCTGTATTTGTACGTGACTAATAATTTTGTTTTTCACGATTCTTATACATGGATCATTCAGTATAATTATATTAGGAATAGAAAAAAAAAACTAGATTCTTCTACAACATAAAATAAATTATCTATTTTTTAAATAGTTTTATACCAAATAGATTTATCATGATCGATAATCAAAAATAAAATTTGACATTTACAAATAACTAATCGGAGTATCAATTCAAAACCAATAAGAACTCTTAAAAAAAAAAGTCTCATTAGTCAACTTGTTTGTAAAAAACAATCAGATATTATATTAGACAATTTACATCAATCTTGTAAAATGAGTAAGAAAATGAGCGTTTGCAGTATGGGTAAAAACGAGTCACCATGGAACGAAAAGAAAAAAAAAAATAGGAGAGGAAGAAAGAAAAAAAAAAGCCATACAAGAAGAAAAGAAGAAAACGACAATAGAAGAACGAGAAAAACAGGGTGCATGTAATAGATGAAAGAAAAAAAAACGCGGACGTACGACCACGACGCCTCGAGATTACTATTTTTTTTTTTTTTTTTTTTGATAACCGAACCGAATGAAATAGCTGTGTAAGGCATTGAGGAAGGGTAACAATCCGCTAGTAACCACGTTGACGACATATTTGACAAAAGGTTGTCGATCGATTGTTATATTCTTTGTTCGATTAGGCATTGCATTGTTGATAAAAAAGAAGAAGACGATGAGTATTTCGTTTTTTTTTCTTCTTTTGTTACTAGTTGATTAGTAGTTCTACATGATATTCTTTTTTATTTAAATGTATTCCAATGTATGTCCATGCATACATATTAATAGTTTAGTTAATATTTTTCATGCAAAATCCTATTTAAGTATTCTATTCATTCATTTATTCGTTCATTTTTTAGCTTGTTTTGGAATAAAATTGGCTTATCTATATATATATGCATATCATTTTTCTTTTATATCGACTGATATCTTAGCACACTTAATTGGGTATGATATTTTATTTTTTGTTTATTTTAGCTGATATAGTTCAATAATATTCATAGATTTATTATGAAGTATCTTAATAAATGAATAATATGCGTTATTATAATCCATTATATACTCGAAAATGGACAAAAATGTTCGGGCCCATGTCAACATTTTTTACCCAACTCGGTGAGATAAATATTAATTTTTTGTTTCTTTTTTTTCTTTTTGATCACGATATTTAGTCTCTTGAGGATTAGCTTTATACATATCAAATTAATACTGATAACAGTAAAGAAACAGAAAATAATAATAATATTTCTTTCTTTTGTTCTTTTCTGGTGTACTTTGTCTTGATTCTCGTTGACGTGATAACATGCGAAGAATGTAAAGTCCAGGTCGATGTATTTTCTTTGTCATGTCTTCCGTTCATTTAAATAAATATATATATATATATTTTTTTTTTTCTCATTCAGTTTAACTAGTAAAGCATGACTATATAATTTTCATTATTAATTTAATTAGTAATTTGTTTGAAAAATAAAAATGGAATGACGAAGAAAATCTTATTGATATCAATACGAGCATTAGTCTATTGACAAGTACTATCGAATTTTAATTATATTTATTTTGTGAATGAAAAAAACTTTGTGCACTATAGATAACCTTAATATGTTTGAATATAAAGAGCAAATTGAATGAAAAGCTATAAAAGTATTTATTTATTTCTATTTTATTGATACGAAAATGTGTTGTATGTTTGTTTTTGCGTTAGAACAACTAAAGTAGATATACTTATTTAAAAAAAAAACAAGTTCGTATACACAGAACTGTTTTTTAAATATTTTCAAAAAAATAAATTTGCATAATTAACATTCAATAATTACTTTAAATACATTAAATTTATATTTATGAAATGGGATGTTCTTTCGTTTTTCTAAAGTTTTACTTTTCCACCTAATGATTCGACAAATTAAAATGAAAACTGCATTGTCATGCTCAGCTTGTCTATTAAAGCATATTTATACAAATGAAAAAAAGAAAGAATGCACTTAAACTTTCGTTCTTTACACTTTAGTTTTTAATGTTTGAATAATAAGTCAATGTGACATAATAAGAATTGTTATATACTAGATTAAAAAATAGTTTTTTTTTTTCGTTTGAAAGAGAAAAAAATGTGAAAATGATTATTGTGTTGTTAATTTACTTTTTTTCAATCATTTTTAGGTATACAACTCGGTTTTCAAACAAGTACAACTAATGATGAATCAATTACTTCATTAACTAATGAATATAGTACAAAATCTTCTCATGGTAACAATTCATCATCATCATCATCATTTTCAACATTATTTTCAACGTTAACGTCACCATTTCGACCACGTTATAAAACATTTATATCATATAAAAAACATCCAAATGGAATAATTAAACAAGATAATAATCATTCAATTTATCATCAACTTGATATTCATAGAATAAATGATGAAAATAATAATGATACAAATAATGCTACAAATCAAAATTCTATACTTATTAATATAGATCCTGACTATTCAAATCGTTTACTAATACCTCATGTTGAGAAATATTCAATTTTTTTAATTTTAAAAGAAAATATTCTTTGGATAATTTTAGCAAGTTTACTTTATTTCCTATGGTTTATATTTATTGCTGGTATTTCAATAGTACATATTTTAATTTATTTAATTTTACTTATTTTTTTTATTATATCCGAACGTACAAGACGTTTTGCATTAGCAGCATTAATCTATTTGACATATTTACTTTTATATGATGCATTACATTTAGTACCAAATTATACGGTATCAAATATTCATATAGAAGATATTTATTTAATAGAAAAAAAAATATTTGGAATTGTTAAAAATGGACATATGATGACATTAAATGAATATTTTCAAGAAAATCACATACCATTATTAGATGTATTTACAGGACTTTGTTATCTTAATTGGTAAGATTAGATATATGATACTCAATCATTTTATTTTTCTTTCTTTTTTACATTAAATTCGACTTCGAAGAAAGAAACTAATACCATAGATGAAATAGACAAAAAACTTTTTCTAAGCTTTTACTTTATATCAAGTGTTCTACTATTCGATAAAATTTCAAAATTTATTAGTTTGAATTGTCTTATATTGAATTGAGGTTGTTGTAATTCTCTTACTTTTTTTAATACAAGTATTAAACCAATTATATGACTCTTCATGATATGTCATAAATGAGTTACTAGAATTTACAGCTTCAAATAAAAAATCTAATCTGATTAAAGTACTTTTGAAGGTGTTAGAATATTGTATAGAATTCTTTTTTTATTATATACAAGATATTAAAAGCTACTGTCGATGCCGTTCGAATAATATGAAACGTATAGACAAAGATATTTATCATTTCGATATCTTTTTATAATTTTTTTTATTACAAATTTCAAAGATATTTTTATTAATCACAAATGATTAGTTCCGCTTATGTCGTGTGAGGAAACATTTAACGGAACTTCCACCCGCTCCTTCCGAAGTTTCGCGAGAACGACTTAGCGGAAATTCTTGAAACTTTCAGAATAGATAGAACAATAAAATTCACTATAGATTCAAAATTTCCAAATGATTTCTTCAGGGAAATCTTGCGAATGATCTGAAGCTCTCCTTCCGCTTCGCAAACATTTACAATACATTTTTTAAGGTTAAAATTTTTTTCTCTGGCGACTACTAGAAATAAATTTGGATGCGTTTGAAAAATATTGTTTTTGAGACTCAGGAAAAGCAAAAAATTGAAGGCACTGTCAAAAAAAACATTAAAAAAGTTTTTTTTTTTCCAGCTAGTGATAATTTAAAATCTATAAAGCTTCTCAAGTATAATATTTTCAAAGAGAAACAAAAACTACACATCCAAATTTGATTGAAGTACTCATAAAATAAGTTTGAGCTCAATTAGCCGAACCGTGTATTGAGAAAATCACAAAGAAAATTGCACTTTTGGGCTTTTTTTACCATAAAATTCAGTTTTGTTTTGATTTTTTTACATGCAAAAAAAGTGGTTTTTCTCTTCTTCAAATGTTCTCATTAGATAGAGAACATTTAAATCTATATACCAAACATAAAACATGAAAATTTTAGGTCGGAAAAGGGGTGCCCGTTCTAGAAACGATAATAAGATCTATTCTATCTTGTACAGAGTTTATTTTTTTCTAATCATAAATATCCATATCCAATCTCAGTTTCTTCTTTTTATAACAATGATTAGAAACAAATCCTCTACAAAATATGATATCTTGTAGTTTATTCTAAGATACTCGAAAAATATCCATCTCAAGGCTACATTGCAGCAATCTAAAAATAGTGGCGGAGGTACTTTATTTTCTTATAGAAAGCTTGAAAAAAAAATTCTTTTTTATGATATGGTAGAGAAAATGACGCTCTATTTTTCTATACTATTTGATTACTATTCAACTAATATCATAAGAATAAAATTTCGATAAGAACTGTTTTTGTTGAAAACTATAGCTTGTAGTAATAGATCATAACGTGTGGAATACTTTTGCATTTTACTTTGTTATCATTTAATACATTCTATTTAAAAAAAAATATATCACAAGGTGCAGCATAAAAAGGTCTACAATTTACAAAGAACAATTATGAAAAGATGAGACAGAAAGAAAACGAATTCGTCTTTTACCAAAAAAAAGAAATTCTCTTTTTCATAGTGTCGAAATTTCCACGCTCAGAACTTTGTCTATTTTGAAAATAATAGGTTCAACTATAAAATAAGCGATCGTTTATAAATTGTACAGCTTTTTATGCTGTATCTTGTGGTATATTTTGTTTTTTAATACAATGTATTAAGTGATAATAAAATGAAAATGCAAAAGTGTCCCATTTTTTATGTTACACTCATTATGAACTCATGCTATCAGCTAGTTTTCAATAAAAACAGTTCTTATTAATATATTATTATTATTCTATTAGTTGAATAGTGATCAAATAGCATAGAAAAATAGAACGTCATTTTCTCTATCACGTCTAGGCATGTACCGAGCTTTGTTTTCGTTATTTTAGAGTTTTTTCGTATTAAAGCTTAAGCTACGAAATAAAAAGTTGAATCATGCAATCTAACCTATCAAAAGATAGAGAAAATTTCACTCTATCAGATGAGACATACCTCATCTCTGTGCAGCAATTCTTTTGGTTTTTATGAGAACTTTACAAACCGAGCCTGACCGAGCCTAGGCTCGGGGCTCGGGCTCGATCAGGCTCGGTCGAGACATTTTTTTGCACTGCAAATAAAAATTAGAATAACTGCAACACAGAACTCTGGAACGTCTCATTTTGTAGAGAAATTTTTTGTCTATCTTTTGATAGGCTAGGCCACATGATTAAACCTTTCATTTCAGAGCTCAAGGCTGTAATATAAAAGTGCTGAAAAATAACGAAAAAAGCTCGGTACATGCCTAATCACGTCATATAAACAGAAAAAATTTTCAAGTTTTCTATAAGAAAATAAAGTATTCGGTTTGTGCGTAGTCTCATAAATTAATAATTTCATCCTAATTTTTTCAAGATCAATTCTAAGAATTGAAATTGATGCATCCCTATTTGAAATTCATTTCAGCTAGTATCAACTTATCTGTGAGAGTATATTGCAATGAAGCTATGAAACCTTGTTCTTGACCCTACTACATTGTAAAATTCAGCGTTAACTTTATCAAGTCTATAACAAGTACGTGACGCTGTTTGGTTGCAATAGTGACAAAAAAGATGGAATCCTCCAACTGTTCAATTGAGACTGTGTGCATTATTTATATTCAAATAAGCTATGAATACTCTGAAAAGAATTTACGATCTTAGCTTATTACTGCGATGGTAACAGAAAAATTCATTGTCAAATTTCGACTTAAAAATTTGCGTAAAGATGAATTTCGATGAGATTGATTTCAGATCTTTTGATTTGCTTTGATCCTGATATAAAAACATCGAAGCTGCCGATTTATATCAGCTATGCAAAAAGTACGCTATTACCATCGTTATATCTTACGATAGGAATAGTGACAAAATTTGAAGCACCCACAAAAAACTATTCTGATTAGGATTTGTCTCTATGCAAAGTTATAATTCTAAAATTTGAAAATTAAGTTTCGTGTCAACACGACTTTTCATCAAAAAATATCGGAAAAACTCACGAGGGAAGGTTCCCAACTGTCCAATCGCTTTTGAGTTCGGATCCTGTGCATAAGGTAAACCCCAGTCAAGTATGAAAAACTCCAAAAGGATAACGGCCCTTAGACCTTCTGTTCAGAGTTACAGGGATTTTACTAGAATTACAGCCTATGGCATGGTATTTACTAAAATATCGAATGACGATATTTCGGCTTGAGATTTTGCCCATAGACAGGTCTAGTTGTGAGTAGAATGCCCCGAAAATTTTAGCTCAAAAGAATGTTTCCTTCCCGAGATATTAAAATCTCAAAAATCACTCATATTTCACGAAAGGTGCTAGAAT